AACACCCACCCCGAGCACACCCGGGACGGGTCCCCGCGCCCCTACCCAGAGCCCGCCGCCGCGGGAGCGCGCCCCGAGCCCCGCGGGAGCGCTCGCCACCCGCGTGGGTCAGTTTTCGGGACACGCCCCCTCGTTTGCATGTTCTGCCTCAGCTGTCCAATCAGACGCGCGCCCGCAGGCTCGCGGAGGAACCGGCCCCGCCCCGCGCAGCCCCCGCACCCGCGAACACGGAGATGTCGCAGCTCCGGAACAGCGGAACCCACTGACATCCTCTATCGTAAAACAGAAATAAAACTGCATTAAGAATTGCGTTTCATTTGCACAATCCTCTGTTCCTATCTGCTTACAAATCAGGATGTCAAAACACCAGTACCTAAACCACACCTCAAGCGCTTTGCTTGAATAAATATCCCGTTTAAAGAGAGTATTTCTATAGCAGACTTTCAGAGTTTCAGTTTTACAATGCCTCAATCAGTTCCTTCTGAGCACCATACGAGTAAAAGATTAGTTTTCTTTTAAATTTACTTTACTAAATAAAATAAAATTTTATCCCAGGATTGCAGGGATCTTTTATTTATTCTTTATATTTTAATTTATATTTCATTTATTTATATATATTTCATTTATTCTTTACATTTATATTCTAAATTTCTTTTATTTTAATGTATTATCTTAATAGATTTTTTTATTCAATAATTATTCCCACTTATCAGAAAAGGGCAACTATAAATCATTTTGTATATATATATATGTATGTATGTATATTTATATAAGTGTGTATATACATATATATATACACAAAACGATTTTTATATATATATTTCACTCAGAAAACTGAACTGTGCAGGCAGTTGATGACTATTTTTTACCAGACATAAAAGTATACAGGAAAAAGTAAATCTTTTCTGCCACTACTTGCCTAAACTTAGCTTTTACCTTTTTTCAGAAGCCTCTTCACTTCCACATAGTTCCCTTCCCTGACATAGTCATGCATCTCGGCTTCCAGGGAGTCCTCTTTCATAATTCCAAGCTTGACTGGGCACGGAAACGGAACAGGGACAAGATGAGCCATCTTCTTTCCTCAACAGAGCTGGGAAAAGGTACGAAACGTCACGAAAGCTGCAAAACACTACAACTTAACTTATCTCCGAGTTCAGCACCTGCAGCAGCCGATGTAAATGGCTGTGGCTGCTCCGCCCTGGAGGACCCCGGGCCGGCCGGGACACACGGGCCCCGTCCCCTCAGGGACCAACGACACCAACGGGCACAGGAGCAGCCGCCGCACGCGGCACCGCCCTCGCGGCTCCGCGCGCCCGCGCATGCGCAGTACTCCCGCCGGCCTCGTGCGCGGCCGCCGCTTCGCGCCAGGGCGCGGCGCGCGCCGGAAAGGGGGCGGGGCCCCAGAGCAGGGGGCGGGGCAGGAGAATGACGTATATATCCATCCTTAAGGGCGTGGTCTATATTTGTCTCCGCCCACGGGGGCGTGGCCTGTCCCGCCCGCTCCCGCCCGTTCCCGGTGCCGGTGCTGATCCGGGTCCTGATCCCGGTGCCGCCAATGCAGCGGGAGGTGGGCTCGCTGCCGCTGGCCCCCGCCCTGCGGGCCCGCCTGGCCGCCGCCGGCTTCCAGACGGCGCAGGAGCTGCTGGAGACCGGCCCCTGCGGCCTGAGCAAAGGTACCGGCGGCACTTCGGCCCCGCGGGGCCTCCCCGCGCCCTTCCGCTCTCCCCCTTCCCCTTCCCGGCTCTGGGACCCCTTGCTGAGGCTTCCGTGTGGCCCGGGAAACGGGCACAGTAAATACTGAGTGAGGTTCACAAGGTTCTGGTAGATCTGTCTTACACTGAGCGATGGATGCAAACGGGATGCAGGAAAACGAAAGGATTCTGCCAGTCTCGTCCCTCTTCTTTCCCCAGCTTCCCTCTTCTTTTTTTCTATGTAATTTAAACAAAATAAACTTCTGTGGAGTCAGGAAGTTACCTCTTTCAAGAGATGTAAATAAGATTTGCAGACTTGATAAGGAGTGTGTCCTGACACTTCCCTGTGAGGGTGGGGAGGCCCTGGCACAGGTTGCCCAGAGAAGCTGTGGCTGCCCCATCCCTGGAAGTGTCCAAGGCCAGGTTGGACGAGGCTTGGAGCAACCTGAGCTAGTGGAAGGTGTCCCTGCCCATGGCAGGGGGTGGAATGAGATGATATTTAATGCCCCTTCCCACCCAAACTACTCTGAGATTTTCATTATCAGTAGTTTTGTTAATTATGATAATATGTGGTAATGGTTTTTGCTTTGACAATCAAAGCTGGATCTGTCAAGGCACATGTGTGTATAAAGATATTTGCAGGTCTCTCATCTCTGTTCTTTGATCTGTGGTTCAAATATAAAAATGAAGCATCAGGTGCTCAGCCCTGGGCTATCCTGAAAATACCCACAATCAGTGGGTGTCACTGGCACTTACTGGTCTGCAACCTGGCTTCTTTTACAGGACATTATTTGCTTCAAATGAAATTAATACGATAGTGCATTTGGTGCAGAGTAGGGGAGTTGTTCTGCCAGAGCTCATCCATCTATGAACAGCAGGTTTGATTTTATTATTATCTGCAGATACTTTGATTTTATTATTATTTGCAGACAACTTGCTGTCACCTAAACCCCAAACACAGCACGTCATTGCTCTGAGTTCTTTTGAAAATCCTGCCATTAGTCTCAGGGCTGTGTGTGTGTTACACTGAAAGGGTGGATATGGATAATTCTATGTTCTGTCAAAGATGTTGAATTACCTCATCATTCTTTAAATCAATTGCTGTTTATAAAAATAAGGTGGTTTTGACTTTTCCAGAACTTGGAATTTCCAAAGAAGAGGCGCTGGAAGCCCTGCAGGTGGTGAGGCAGGAATGTCACGGGGATGCAGCGAGGACTGCCGGGGGTTCAGGCGCCACCAGAAAGTTCACAGCCCTGGAGCTTCTGGAGGAAGAGCAAGCCCAGGGCTTCATCATCACCTTCTGCTCAGCACTGGACAACATTCTGGGAGGGGGTGTGCAGCTGACAAAAATCACCGAGGTCTGCGGAGCGCCCGGCGTGGGGAAAACGCAGCTGTGGTATTTTACCGCCGGGTGACCTTTGTGCGACCAAGAACCACTTTTTGTTTCACTTAACTCTGATAATAATTGTGCTGCTCCCTGTTCCATGTGTCCCTCAGCAGAAATGTCCCTTCAGGAGCGGGTCAGGAGAGGTCTGTGGTGTAAATATTTCCCTTTTCTCCTGTTTCCCGTGGCAGTATGCAGCTGGCAGTAGACGTGCAGATCCCGGAGTGCTTTGGGGGCGTCGCTGGAGAAGTCGTGTTCATTGACACCGAGGGAAGTTTCATGGTAGACAGAGTGGTGGAGATTGCAGCTGCCTGTGTGCACCACTGCCAGCTCATTGCTGAGGCTCAGCAAGAGGAAGGTAACGTTGCTGAGTTGTTTCTTTCTGCCTGGTAGGCAGGGATGGAGAGAAACAAGTGTCTCGTAGGCTGCAGTGCTACATTTGGGGCTTAGGGAGTTCTTGCTGGCAGCCTTTTATTTCCACCTGTGTGTGTCAAACCCTGAACTGCATCAGTGTTTGGACCTGTGCTGCAGACTGGGCTGGTTTACTTTAAGAATAATTCTTTTTCTACGTGATGATATGGGGAGGTTTAAGTATGTGGGGGTTTGGTGTTTGCCTTTCCTTCTTTCTCTCTTTCTCTCTTTCTCTCTTTCTCTCTTTCTCTCTTTCTCTCTCTCTTTCTTTCTCTCTCTCTTTCTTCCCTCCTTTCCTTCCTTTCCTTTCTCTTTAAAGATCAAATTTGCAGCTAAACCCAAACACAACTCTGTTCAGCAAAACTGAGGGATTATGGGCTGCAACACAGGGTTGGGTGGGGAAAGAGAAGAGCAACAGCAGAACTTTTTGAGGCACTGTTGCTGCTGAAGCCCCATATAGCAAAACTGTGGCTGGAATTCAGCTCCTCCATAAGGTCAATATAGCCAGGCTGCTTTTTTTGAGGATTTTTATTCTCAAAGTCATCAGTCTGTTGGGGACAGTGACAAAACTTCCACGTTGCTCTTGGAGAATTTATGCACCAAACTTCTGCTTGAAGTGAGGTGAAAGGACACCGTATTAAATGAGCTGCTGCCTGTACATTAAACAAAGGATGATTAATAGTCCCTGATGGCCTCTGGTGGTGTTCTGGCTTGAAAATGATTTACTGGAAAGGTTCTTGTTTCAGAAATAAATGTTTCATTTTTGGAGCCCTCCCTTGGAGGCTCCGGTGTCTCTGTGTGCAAATGCTGAGAGAGCATCTGCTCACCACCTTCCTGACTTTCAAGCCAGATGGAAGGTATGTCTCCACACTCTCTACCTTGCCTGTTCTGTTTCTGGGGGCTTTGCTGTTGCTATGTGTGGAGGGCATAGTTTGGTGCAATGATGAAAGTAACAATATGCTCGTACAGACTTCTGACTCATTTATTCATCTGTTTGCTTGTTCTCAGATCATCTGAAAGCTTTGGAGACCTTCTCTCTTGAAAGTATCCTTTCTCACATATATTACTTCCGTTGTCGTGACTACATAGAGCTCCTTGCCCAGGTCTACCTCCTCCCAGAATTCCTCTCAGAGCATTCCAAGGTAAGGGTTATTGCAGGCTTATCAGAACATATCACTCATCTTCACACTAAAGATTTTTATCTGCTGTAGTAAGAGTAACATGAGTAAACACCTTGGTACCTCGTCAGCTTGGCAGTAACGTATTGGCTGATGCCAGAGTACAAATGTAAAGCCTTCTGCTTGTTTGCTTTTTCATTCCCATCCCAATTACTCTTGAGAGTAATTTGCTTTTGCTCCCGCTGCTGCCACCATCCTGAATTTTCAGTTTGGATCC